ACCTTGACAGACACACACACACATCTTGACAGACACACACACACATTGACAGACACACACACACATACCATGACAGACACACACACACCTTGACAGACACACACATACAATGACAGACACACATCATGACACAGACAGACACACACACACACCATGACACAGACACACACACCATGACAGACAGGCACACACCATGGCTGTTCTGGCGGCCGCAGGGGGAGCTGGCTGTGCTGTCTCTGCTCCCCAGCGCGCAGCTTAATGAGACCGAGGCCGGAATATGACGTCATATTCCGGCTCCGGTCTCATTAAGTAGCACGAGAGGGCGGGGGAGCAGAGCCAGCTCCCCCTGCGGCTGCCAGAACAGGAAGGAACCAGCTCCAGCCTGCGGCCACTAGCACAGACAGCTGTCTGTCCGGCCCCAGGTGCGTATCTCGGTGGGCCAGTCCAGCCCTGCTGCTGGAGCACACTCTGACCCTGTGCCATCTTTGGCCGCAATTGTAACAAACAATATTAGAGTTTTCTTTTTTTTTAAATCTAGGATTGATATTACTCACTGTTAACACTCTATTGTCATTTGCTAGCACAGTATTTCTCAGTATCTTCAAAACTTTTCACATGTGTCTTAAACTCTACAAAAGACTTCACGGTCAAAACATTCATGTAGTTCCAATAAAAACGCCTGGATTGAACCAAGGTGTGCCTGGACCTCTTTTATTTTTGTTTCTTAAACTCTACAAAAGGCATTTTCCATCAACCTGCATCATCGCAATCAGCAATCCATCAGTCAATATTTCTCATGCATTTTTTTATGCTGTAATGACTGTCTCAGCATGTATAACATAGTCCATCACACTGTCATGGATGGCTGATAGAGGTGCTTCCTGAGGCATTGCTACCTAGTGTGCAGCACTGCCATTCATTGTCTCCACCCTCTGCATGCAGACACTGAACTTTCCTCATAAAGATGCATTGATTCAATTAATCTCTCTGAGGAGATGCTGATTGGCCAGGGTCATGTTTGACTTGTGCTGGCTCTGCCCCTGATCTTCCCCCCCAAAAAAAAAAATGGATAATAATTTTATTAAAGGAACACTATAGGAACAGGAACACAAACATGTATTCCTAATCCTATAGTGTTAAAATCACCATCTAGCCCCCTCTGGCCCACCCTTGCCTCCCTTAGTATAGTAAAATATTACTTTTATTCAAGCCTGCAGCTGCTGCCTCTGCCTCTGACCTGACTGTTTGCCTGACATCATCAAAAGTGATTCTGTGAGCCAGTTACAATGCTTTTCACTAGGATTGGCTGAGACTGTCAAGGAAGCAGATCAGGGGTAGAGTCAGCACAAGTCAAAAAAAAGCCCTGGCCAATAGGCATCTCCTCATAGAGATGCATTGAATCAGTGCATCTCTATGAGGAAAGTTAAGTGTCTCCATGCTGAATGCAGAGACACTAAATGGCAGTGCTGTACACTATGCCCACTGCCTCTTGTAGCCATCTGAGGAGTGGCCAGTGGAGTTATCCCTAGGCTGTAATGTAAACTCTGCAGTTTCTATGAAGACGGTGTTTAGTACAAAAGTCCTGAAAGGAATGATTCTACTCACCAGAACAAATACAATAAACTGTAGTTGTTGTGGTGACTATATTGCCCCTTTAAATCATTTACTGAAGAGAACAAGGTTTCTTTTACTGTGAAACTTGTTTGAATTTGTTGAAATAGAAATGAGAAAAATAAAAGTGTTAAACAATTTAAATCTAATATTATCAATAGATTATACAATATTAATTTATGTCATTCTTCATGTGCATGTCAGATGTCCTTGTGGTTATCAATATGTGGGAAAGACCACACGTTCATTAAAGATCCAAATATGATGGGCATGTTGGTGTAGCATCAATACGGCAGAAATCGGAAGTGGAAGTAGAATCCGAAGGTGGTATTTTGCCGTGGTTACATGCTATTGATGGTGGAGTCTTTGTTTAGCTGAAAACCTTGAATATCTTTGTCTTCACAGTTTAGAGTCAACTTATACTACGCTTTACATAGTGTGAGTGATCCATTTGAAGTGATAATTTATTATTTTTTTAATGTATGTACTACACTATGATGTGTACCGATGTGTTCATTCAATAGATGTATACCTGTATAAACAATATTTGGGTAACTATATCTATTGTGTGTACTATAGATAGACTATTATGGATTTTACCTTGCCTGCATAATAATCTCTCACTAGTCTAAATTCTTTATTCCATCATCAGCTGCCACCCTCATTATTGAAGATCGTATTTTATAATCTAAAAATTGTGTTATAAAGCACGTTTTGTCATTCTTACATGTGTCCTCGTCCTCTTCATCTGTATCATTTGGTTAGTTCAGGATGGTTTCCTTAAAGTTCATCAATTGCAGATAGATGTGACAAGAACTTTATCTCCTATAACTTGTAGTTCTTCTCATCTCTGTTGAAACACAGCCTGCTCCATCAGTTTCCAGCATACCTCCTGAACCCATTGCATTCTGCATGCAGAGGGTACGATGACCAAGGAAGTGCACACAATAATGGAGGAACAACACCACACACATGTTTAGCTCTTTGCTGCTTCACAATCAACAGGGAAAAAGGCGGGGTAACAACTTTATGGTACCACGGACAAAGAACACACATTCAGGGCACTTTAGCATTTTATCCCCAAGAAACTCTAGCTGCTTTCTATAGAGAGATTAACATTCATGGTATTTAAGTAATCTGGTGTTAGAAAGCAAGAAGACTCCTAAATTGATATTAGGTCTCACATGGTTAGATCCAAGGACACCATATGTTGTGGAAGTAGGGTTACTAGTCATAGGCATTTGTAGTGATCCTCTATATTCCATTGTTCAACACTAACATATCTTAGGGGTTATTACAAGGAAAGCCAAGGACCTGAATGTCAAATCGAAAGCCTATACAAGGGTACTGACTAATATATTTAAGTAGAAGATATAACGTAGAATTAGGATAATGTGCCTAAAGTGAGGAGATGCTGAGGAAATCTTTATCAGTTTCTAAAATAATTCTAATTGAAACAAGATACAACTTTCGGTCTAGAGGCCTTAGTCATGTATACATGACTAAGGCCTCAAAGCCAAAACATTGTATCTTTTTTTGTCCTTTTTGATCTCCAATAAATAATTTTTTGCCTCCACCCTACATTGTGACGCCTGTGGAACTTTACTTCTTATTAATAAAAATGTTTTTTGAAAACCCCCCAGCTTTTTTATTGGGGAGGAGGAGAGGGGAAGCTTAATGCGTCCATTGCCAGTTTGCTGAACACCGACTACGGGCGTATTTTAAGTCACAATACCTCTTTGACACCACTTGGCCGCATGGTTTGAGACATGTGTAAGCGAATGATAAATTAATTAGCCTTTCGACACTGGCAAACCATTCCTCCTCCCTGTTCATGTGAGTCAAATACATCGCTAGGCCATGCGATCACACTTCCTATATAAATTCGGACTCTGCCCGCTCAAACGTCATATCCTTATATATAATTAATTTGCGAAACGTCACATCCAGTCTCAAAGTATTCAAGTCACCTAGGCAACCCTGTTCTAATACGTGGTTTCTACCTTGGTATCCGTATAGTGCATTTCGTAAGTCTCTCTTGTATTTCTGATATTGACCTTGGCTTGTTTGTTGACTTTGAGTATTTCTGGAATCCTGCTTGTTTATCCATACATCCATATTTCTACAATCCTGATCTTGCCTACTCCTGACTCTGTCTCTATCTTTATATAACTTTACATCTGGCGGTAATACATCTATATTTGACCCTCCATTTCTAGGTTTCTCATATCCTGTAAGTTAGGGTAATCACCCTGTGACATTTCCTAAGTAACATGTGCCTGTGGAGCATCTAGTCCTTGGCACACAAGTGCAAATAACCCAGTATCTGCAGTGTTTCAAGTTTAGACCCAAGACCATGTCAAATCACTGAAGTGGTTATGGTGGTTGAAGTAAACTTTAACATAAAAACAAAAGAATATGCCACAATGGGTGAATTGAAAACATTCCCCACATAAGCTATGTTTTAAGTTAAGATGTCTTGACCTGATATATACAAATTCACCATAGGGCTTGGACAATTCACACTTTGAACCCTACCTGCTTTAAAGTTTCAATTGTGGGTGTATATTTTGAAAAGATATCCAAAGGTACATACCCGCTCATTATGTGGCAGTAAGAGGGGGAAGTTGAGGTGAGAAATTCATCACTCATGGGCGCAGAACAGGTCTCTACGGAGGATCTCATGAAATCCCCCACAGACTTACTTTAACAGGAGAATGCTTGTTCCCCACAGCCATTTCTAGCGATACGTGTGGGAGTTGACAAAACTTGACAGTGGAAGCTCCACTTCTTATACATTTTTGGTGACATACAGAATATGGGAATGATTGGCTGCAATGTTCAGCTCTCACTAGATGTCGGTATACTTTTTACACACGTACATGGTAATGACTCTTGTAACTCAAAGTATGTTCTTTTCTGCAATGCTTGATACTAGTTGCAAATGTTTTATTCACTTGCTGATATAGATATATATACACGCACACACACACACATATACAGTTGCATAATGGAGTCATTGTAAATTATATATAAATAGTAAAACGAGTCAGTACATTTGTAGGACTACATTACTGATTTAATATAGTACATGTATCTGCAAAGCAACACATTTCACCTTTTTTAAATAGTTGTTTTAAGATGGGGATTATGGCTGGAATAGAGTATAGTAGTTACTAATCCCCAACAAAGCCATCCTGAAACAGTTACATTCATAAATGTCAGTATATTAGTGCCTTTCTAATCAAAATCATCATTAACCCTCCTCTTATCGCAGAGCTAAGTGCTGGGGGGGGTCACTGAAGTTGACAGTACAGCGGCCATGTTGGGTAGTACACCCAGAGCACTGAGCAGCGGAGTGGGCGGAGCTACCGGCCTACGGTCTTTACCGGAACTGACGTTCTGCGCCTTTCCTGTCCAGCGCTGAGGCCTGTTTCAGTGTGCGCAGAGAGCGCCAGGTTTCCCGAACTTCCTACCAGCCAGCTGTGGGACCCCACACACCGCCAACATGTATGATGGAGAGGAAGGTGAGAGGAGAGCTCGTTATACCTTAAATTACTGCAGAGGGCTGATGGGAGTAATCCATGGCTACACGTGGATCTCTGGGAAAGTACAACAACAATAAGAGTGCTGGCTGCACTGAGTGTGACTGGCTGCACTGAGTGTGACTGGCTGGCTGCACTGAGTGTGACTGGGGGACTGGCTGCACTGAGGTGTGATGACTGGCTGGGAGGCTGCACTGGAGTGTGACTGGGGGGGACTGGCTGCACTGAGGTGTGTGACTGGGGGGGGGACTGGCTGCACTGAGTGTGACTGGCTGGGGCTGCACTGGAGTGTGTGACTGGCTGAGGCTGCACTGAGTGTGTGACTGGCTGGGGCTGCACTTAGGTGTGACTGGCTGGGGCTGCACTACAGGTGTGACTGGCTGGGGCTGCACTGAGTGTGACTGGCTGGGGCTGCACTGGAGTGTGACTGGCTGGGGCTGCACTTTAAGGTGTGACTGTGGCTGGGAGACTGCACTGAGGTGTGACTGGCTGGGGCTGCACTGAGTGTGACTGGCTGGGGCTGCACTGGAGTGTGACTGGCTGGGGCTGCACTGAGTGTGACTGGCTGGGGCTGCATGAGTGTGACTGGCTGGGGCTGCACTGGTGTGACTGGCTGGGAGCTGCACTGGAGTGGCGGCTGGCTGGGGAGGCTGCACTGAGTGGCGGTGACTGGCTGGGGCTGCAGTGTGACTGGCTGGGGCTGCACTGAGTGTGACTGGCTGGCTGGCTGCACTGAGTGTGACTGGCTGGGGCTGCACTGAGTGTGACTGGCTGGCTGGCTGCACTGAGTGTGACTGGCTGGCTGGCTGCACTGAGTGTGACTGGCTGGCTGGCTGCACTGAGTGTGACTGGCTGGCTGGCTGCACTGAGTGTGGCTGCACTGAGTGTGGCTGCACTGAGTGTGGCTGCACTGAGTGTGGCTGCACTGAGTGTGGCTGGCTGGCTGGCTGCACTGAGTGTGACTGCACTGAGTGTGGCTGGCTGCACTGAGTGTGGCTGCACTGAGTGTGGCTGCACTGAGTGTGGCTGCACTGAGTGTGGCTGCACTGAGTGTGACTGGCTGGCTGCACTGAGTGTGGCTGGCTGGCTGGCTGCACTGAGTGTGGCTGCACTGAGTGTGGCTGCACTGAGTGTGGCTGCACTGAGTGTGACTGGCTGGCTGCACTGAGTGTGACTGGCTGGCTGCACTGAGTGCGGCTGCGCTGAGTGCGGCTGCGCTGGGGGGCTGCACTGAGTGCGACTGGGGGGCTGCACTGAGTGCTTACTGGGGGGCTGCACTGAGTGCTGGCTGGGGGGCACTGGCTGCACTGAGTGTGGCTGGCTACACGAGGTGTGGGGGGGCTGGCTGCACTGAGTGTGACTGCACTGGGGGGCTGGCTGCACTGAGTGTGACTGCACTGGGGGGCTGCACTGAGTGTGACTGCACTGAGTGTGACTGCACTGGGGCTGGCTGCACTGGTGTGACTGCACTGGGGAGCTGGCTGCACTGAGTGTGACTGTACTGGGGGACTGGCTTCACTGGGGGGGGCTGGCTGCCTGGTTATGGAGTATAACTAAAGTACCTGATACTCCTATAACAATATGGGTTCTCATTTGACCCCGTGGCTACGGTGTTTTAACCCCTTCAGCGCCAAGGGAGGGCGGCCCTGAGGGTGGATGGGACCTAAGGGTTGTACAGTGTCATGAAAACGAGTTTGTTTTTCTGACACTATAGTGATCCTTTGAGGGTGGATGGGACCTAAGGGTTGTACAGTGTCATGAAAACGAGTTTGTTTTTCTGACACTATAGTGATCCTTTAATAAAAAAAGAATATCTAGCCATCTTAGTGGTGTACTTCAAAGTGCCATTGCAGCTGTAACACAGAGGAGTTATGGCCCTGCATCATTTGTCAGTGTGATTGTAACTGGGTTGTTCTAGCTATTTACATTAATCTTCTGCCATGATGGCAGAGTTTAAATTCTTGTTAACTTATTTTAAAGGAACACTACAAACACTTAAAGCATTTTACTTGCAGAAATGTTTTATGTGTAAAGAATGTGACATCTTATATATTTAATTTTACAAAAAGTGGAGATTTCAGTAGAAATTGGTACTTTTAACACCCATGTCTGTTAATCAGACATCTGGTCCTGTTACTTCCTTGTTGTCTAGCTCAATGGAGCTAAACTTGAGAAGCATGCAATTGTGCAGAGCTGGATTAGAAAAGGAGGGCTTGCAAAGGCAGCCGTTAAAGGACCACTCTAGGCACCCAGACCACTTCAGCTTAATGAAGTGGTCTGGGTGCCAGGTCCAGCTAGGGTTAACCCATTTTTTCATAAACATAGCAGTTTCAGAGAAACTGCTATGTTTATGAATGGGTTAAGCCTTCCCCTATTTCCTCTAGTGGCTGTCTCATTGACAGCCACTAGAGGCGCTTGCGTGCTTCTCACTGTGATTTTCACAGTGAGAGCACGCCAGCGTCATTGGGATGTGTGACCGGCTGCGCGGGGAGGAGGAGAGCTCTCCGCCCAGCGCTGGAAAAAGGTAAGTTTTATCCCCTTTCCAGAACCGGGCGGGAGGGGGTCCCTGAGGGTGGGGGCACCCTCAGGGCACTATAGTGCCAGGAAAACGAGTATGTTTTCCTGGCACTATCGTGGTCCTTTAAGAGATCTGCAGTTTTGCAAGCTGTTTTAGATGTACCACAAATGGGGGGGAGGGGGGGAAATGCATGATTAAATGCAAGCATGTTTTCATTGGAGGCACATCTACTAAATTGTGATATTTTATTTTGGTAGTATCGTGTCCCTTTTAGCTGCATGGGTTATCGTGAGTGATGGGAGAATTAACCCTAAGGCATGATATGGGTATAATCTATTATGCAGGGATTCTGGACTCTCCCAGTTATGAATTGAGGAAAGGTTTTACTATAGTTAGTTAAGCTTCAGGCAAGTTCAGTCAAGCTTTAGGTTTTTACATGTTTGTTAGAGGTCAATATTAAAGTGACACTTCCACAGTTTGAGGACTTTGCAGAATTTGCAAAGACCTCGTCAATGACATTGCCGCTGGGTTTCCAGTGGCTGTTGGGGAGGCAGGCAAAGATGAGTTCCACTTACCCAAACCTGTCCCTCATGGGCACCACCATCCTCTCCCGGTGGATTCTTTTCAGCAGCACCAGGAGTCAGTGTGTCACTGCTGAACTCTTGTGCATGTACAGTATTGAGGTTTATGGAGAATTCCATGGTATCTTTCATAAATAAAGCAAATTCTCTGCAGCCGTTGGGGGGATTGACACTTCTAGACGGCAGTACCTCCGCCCAATATCTAGAGGTGTCAGGCGTAGACACTAAACACTAAGGATGGAACTTGGGGACTCCTTACACTATAACCACTTTAATAAGACACATCTGTTACAGTGCCTAAAGTATCCCGTTTACCAGGTTCTTGCTAAGCATAATTTTTCCTTTAGACCTCCTATTTTATAAAAAATATTGATACATTTGGTGCATTTCCCCAAATGCAATTTCTTGTATCCGAGATTTTCTGAGTTTTGCATTTCATTTGTCATTTTCAGAATTAAGTAAATAATCCTGAAAATATCTCACACAAATAATGCAGTGACAGCATAGTAAGAGTGATAATCAATTTGCAAAACACAAATCTATATATGCATACATTTAAATTCCTAAAATATAAATTGTGTTCAATAATCTGGGAAGGTATACAGACATGTCTTATATAATATTGGATTGCTTTATTAGTTGCTTTTGTTAAAAAAATAAAAATAAATTAGATTTAGTATTACCGCTAATAAAATTGTTTTGCTAGATATGCAATATGACGAAGAAGATGATGAGATTACTCCAGATTTGTGGCAAGAGGCCTGTTGGATTGTTATAAGGTAAATTTGCTAATGTTATGAGAACCAAAGTGAAGTTAAAAACATCACTTATTTAATCTTTAAAACACGTAAATCACTGTAAGACAAGCACCACATTTATACTGCAGTATTTGAACTCAATGGACACTAGCCCTAAAGTATATTATTGTGAAAAAAAAGTATAAATACTATAAAATGTATGTTAAAGTCAATAATAAAAGTACTACATAAAGGTGTTCCCTAACCTATTCTCAATTAATACAGTTTGACTCCTTGAATATAAGCAAAAACATCCAATGTAACTTTCCATTAACTAAGAAGTCTTTGCATTACATAGTTTTGTCAACAGCAAATTACCTTTAGTGACTGACTGAATGATAAAGTGAGGTAGCCAGTTTAACATTTATTTGTAGCCATAGCCTTTTTTTTTCTCTTTTAGCTACTATTCTGATACTTGAATTTTCACAATTCTTAATCCCCTTTTCTCCATAAAGCTCCTATTTTGATGAAAAGGGTTTGGTGCGGCAGCAACTGGATTCTTTTGATGAATTTATTCAGATGTCCGTACAGAGGATTGTAGAAGATGCACCTCCAATTGATTTGCAGGCTGAAGCTCAGCACACAAGTGGTGAAGTGGAAGAGCCAGTGAGTATAAAATGTTTGTGTTATCTGCAATCCTTAAGTTCATAGTAAGATAAACTATATAAGCTTTGCAACCTGTTTCTGTTGTGTTTTTCCAGCCCAGATTTTTATTGAAGTTTGAACAGATTTATTTATCCAAGCCCACTCATTGGGAAAGAGATGGCGCACCCTCTCCAATGATGCCAAACGAAGCAAGGTTAAGAAATTTAACGTAAGTAAACAACATTCTGTGCTATCGGTTTCAAGATGAACATCATGGTCTAAAGCATTTTACTATACAATACAATTACAAAACTGATCCTTCCTTTCATATAAAAGAGTAAGGTTTTGTTTAAAGTAGAAGTATTCCCAATGATGAGATGCTTGAAATTTAAAATAAAAACAAAAAACAAACATTGTCATTTTCAATGTAAAGATTGCATTGTGGTTTTTCTCTAGATACTCTGCACCCTTATATGTGGACATCACAAAAACGGTGGTCAAGGAAGGCGAGGAGCAAATTCAAACACAACATCAAAAGACATTTATTGGAAAAATTCCAATTATGTTGCGTTCTACATACTGTTTACTAAATGGCCTAACTGACCGTGATCTTTGTGAGTTAAATGAATGTCCGCTTGATCCAGGTGGTTACTTCATTATTAATGGATCAGAAAAGGTAAATGTTTTTCATTTTTCTTAGTGATTGTCACTCCACATATATTCCCTTTATTTCACACAAACATGTCTGCAATCTCAAGCAGTTACCCCAGAAATCATTTGGATCATATTCATTTTAAATCTTAAATTTTTGCAAATTACCTGCAGTACTTTAAGTAACCATTTACTATATTAGAATGAAGTGAATGGTGACATGATCTCTACAGAATTTACTTTACCTCTGCTGTTTTCGATTTTCGTAATCAAGGTTCTAATTGCCCAAGAGAAGATGGCTACAAACACAGTATATGTGTTTGCAAAGAAGGATTCAAAATATGCGTACACAGCAGAGTGTAGATCCTGTTTGGAAAATTCATCGAGACCAACAAGTTCTATTTGGGTTAGCATGTTGGCCAGAGGAGGTCAGGTATGAGAAGTTTGCTTTACTATTAGGCTTCTGCCTACTTTATTTTTTTCCTTTGCTCTTGCTATCTGAATTTATATGTTTGAATGATGTTTGTGTATACTGATAAAACCATTATTTAATGTATTGCAGGGTGCCAAAAAAAGTGCTATTGGTCAGCGCATTGTTGCTACCTTGCCTTATATCAAACAGGAAGTACCCATAATTATAGTATTCCGTGCTTTGGGCTTTGTGTCCGATAGAGACATATTAGAACATATAATCTATGACTTTGAAGATCCTGAGATGATGGAAATGGTAAGTAAAATGCACAAAAAATGTGTATGTGAAAATACATGTGCTTCACGTGTGAGAAAATAAATGTCATGATCAACACATAGCTATGCTGTTAAAAAACATACAGAGAAAATATATTTTTTCCTAAATACCTGCTGTTATATTTTCCCCTCTTCATAAAAAAAAAACTATAACCTATAATAAGTTGTTCAACCACAAAATTGTGATGAACCTTCAGATATCTTGTGTTAAATCCTGTTGCTGTGGTGTCCATATAATTTTTAAGAATATTTCAGATCGGTCATAACCTTTTAACTATTTTCTTTACCTCTCTTTGCGATAGGTAAAACCTTCACTTGATGAAGCCTTTGTCATACAGGAACAGAATGTAGCCCTAAATTTCATTGGTTCAAGAGGTGCTAAACCTGGTGTAACCAAAGAAAAAAGAATTAAGTATGCTAAAGAAGTTCTTCAGAAGGAAATGCTGCCACACGTTGGTGTCAGTGACTTTTGTGAAACAAAAAAGGCATATTTTTTAGGGTAAGTGTTTTTTTTTTTTTTTTTAAATTTGTTTTAATTAAATAATTTTATTGTTTAAATATATGCAAAATTATTTTAGAAAATAAGTTATTGACATTTAAAGTTATATTTTTGGGTTAATCTTTGTTTAATTTGTAATAAAACTCTAATACAAGTAAAATCTGTCCTACAAGTTTATTGGGATTAATTGAAATTTGTTCACAGGTACATGGTTCACAGACTTCTCCTTTCAGCTTTGGGAAGAAGAGAACTTGATGACAGAGATCACTACGGTAATAAAAGACTGGATCTTGCTGGACCATTGCTTGCGTTTCTCTTCAGAGGGTAAGAGCCAGACACTTGAGCAATTGTTTTTTTGTTTAACAAAATGTCTGTGGACTGCACAACCTGGATTCAAGCATCTGTTTTACTGTGAATCCTGTACGCCATTTGTGTATAGAAATGTACCGTGCTTTATCTGAATATATCCAAACCTTTTGGAAAAGTTTGCCTTAGGTTTTTTTTTTTTTTATGTGTGTATTATATAAATATTTGTGTGATCAGATAACTGAGATGGGTTATTTAGTGTGATCCGGCTAAATATTTACATTCATGATGACAAAGGGCTTCATTAGGACTTTGCTGTTACTTCAGTAACAGGGATTAGAGGAATGTTGTAGTAAAGCCAAAGCTTTCCAAGCTTGAAGAAGAGTAAATATACTATTAACTATAACACTTTTTGTAAATTTTCATTTTACAGAATGTTTAAAAACTTGCTGAAAGAAGTCCGTATATATGCACAGAAATTTATTGACCGGGGAAAAGATTTCAACCTTGAGTTGGCTATTAAGACACGAATAATTTCAGATGGCTTGAAGTATTCTTTAGCTACTGGGAACTGGGGTGACCAAAAGAAAGCCCATCAAGCAAGAGCTGGTGTATCACAAGTAAGACTACGTTACTCTTAACTATTATCCAGGTAACATTGTTCAATCACATTTTTTATTTTTTTTAACACTTCTTGCATATAAATGGCATCCATGCTTGGCAGCAAGTCGACTACGTGGATTATTTCCTCAAGAAACAGAATGTGTGTCGCTTTACTTGGACAACTGCTTGCAGATAGTACTTTTAAATGATAAAATTGTTGGTCCTTGCAACCTTGTGCATTAGCAGGCCACAGTTCAAGCTTATATCTTCTTGCTTTAGAGATGTGAAATGCAGCTCTGGAATAAATTAGGAGGCTACTCCAATTTTAATTTTTTCTTGCTTACATCAGCTTTTCTACATTAATGGCAGTCATTGCAACATACACAAACCACATTTTACTTACACCTTTTTTCCCAATATCAATGGGTGACCTCCTGTCTGTTGTATATTCCTGCTAATCAACGGGTTAGCACATAGCTTTTGCACTGACCCTGCATATATTTGTATAGTGCTATTATATCCCCTCTGATGCACCTTTTTTTTCTAAAGAAAACAAATTCCATTTTCTAGCCTTTCATAACTGTTTTCCATCCACCTTACTAGTTTTGTAGTTTGCATTTGCACTTTTTTTAGTTCTGCAATATCCTTCTTTAAAACGGGTGCCCACCCTGTCCTGGAGGCAGCCAAGCACACCCACATACCAGCACTGTTTGGGTAGAGTTGATGAGATAAGGCTGATAGAAGAAAATGCTGCAACTATTGGGGGGGGCAGGACAGATCATATTTGGATACATGGAGTATATTGCTGACCTTCATGGGGGAATGAAGGAATGGGTTCAAGAGCGCAAGCGCATGCTTATTATTCCTACTTCTATCCTTGTTTCTTTTTTCACACTTTGCTCTTCCTTCTTCACTTTTACTCTCTTTCCATTGTCTTTACTCTTCAGGGGTATAAACCTTAACTCGCTCTTAGAGTTGCTTAACTCCTGTCTTTTAGGGATTGCATTTCCGGTACGTACACAAATTTGGATACAACATCAGCATCTTATGTTTGAATGAAAATGTATTGGTTTTTAGATGTCAACTCGCACACCGCGTTCTTACCTGAGTTGGTATTTGATTTGCCTACTATTGTTTTCCCTTCTTCTATGTACTTTCACTATGATTTGCTTATACATGTCTTTATCCACATTGCAAATCTGGTTATCAATGACACGTAACACTTTATAAAATAAAGATTGTTACCGCATATTCAGGGTGAGGTCTTACCATTGATTTGTGAAGAGGCAAAATTATATTTTTATCACGTGAATCAAAACCCCTTTTTATACACAAAACCACCTTACCAGTTTTTGCAACAGCAGACTGACATTGCATATACTGTTGATTGTTGCCTGGACATTATGTCCTATAACAGTAACTTTCCAGTTTTTCTAGCAAACACAATAGTTCAAAAATATTAACTTTAGATGTCAATGTTTTTAGGTGTTGAACCGTCTGACCTTTGCATCTACTCTTTCACATTTGAGAAGATTGAATTCTCCCATTGGAAGAGATGGAAAACTTGCCAAGCCTAGACAACTGCACAACACATTATGGGGTATGGTTTGTCCAGCTGAGACTCCAGAGGTAAGATACTTAGATTTATTTTTGTTGCTAAGGTTTACGTTTCACTAGTTAATGCAAGAGTTTAGTGGTTTTAACTTTAACGTCTTTTAAATCTGAAAAAAAGTGTTCTTTTTCTTATGATATAATGCATATAACAATATGTGCTCCTTTACTTTGCTTTTAACATTACAAATAAGTGGTTTAAAAGGATATATTTTAAGTGTTTAAGGCCAAGTTACTCGGTTTAGATTAGCTGCATTCAGAAGCAGTCTTCCCACGTAAGAAAATTAAGTTTAAAACAAGTTAGCATCCTGCTGGCCCTTCCCTGGTTGGTATGTCAGCAAACAGTTTAGTCATTAAACATAAGTTACGTCATGGATATGTTTTAAGAAATGTTTTAGGGGTCATTGACGTATGCCTTTTTCGATTACACTGAGATTTGATATCACACAGTTTATATTTAAAAATTTAAAATGCCAATCACAAAGTTTCTACCACCACATCCTTCCATTTATTCCAACATGATGTATGCACAATATATATCTATTATTTCTTACTGTGCATGCTTTAGAAGATCTGTGGATCTCACAGGATCTTCACTCCAGTTTTGTACGCTCACAATGCACGAACTATTGACACAGCTCGTGGCAGGTGAAACCACCACCAGCAGCTGACAGAATATGGCCGCTCTGAGGATGTAGAACAAACATGAAAGCAGAACTGTCCCCTTGCTTGGTCTTTGGAAAAAAAAAAAAAAAATGACACCAGAAGTGACTTTGCTGCTTTAATCATCTTTTTTCTAAATCCTGTATTAAAACGCATAGTTTATGTGATAGAATTTAGAGGCAAATGTGTTGTTTCTGTGTAGCAATGTGTTAAGGACGATGCCTTTTATACTTACTGTTTTTATTGCCTTTTTATAATGACCCTTCTAAAGTAAACATTTGCCAACTGATACTTTAAGCTACTCAATCCAGTACTCCAATTTTCTGTCTCCTGTTTATTGGGTAGTTGTAGATTTATCAATTTTTTTTTTTTTCTTGCAGGGTCATGCTGTAGGCCTTGTGAAAAATCTAGCCCTAATGGCCTACATTTCTGTTGGGTCTCAGCCCTCTCCTATATTGGAGTTTTTGGAAGAATGGAGTATGGAGAATCTTGAAGAAATATCACCTGCAGCCATAGCAGAGTATGTGCATGAATTACTTCATATTTTGTTATAAAATAGCAATCCTCAGGGACAGTTAAAGCTTATTCTGCATTTTTAGAAATAAGGTTTAAAAGATACCATGTTATACAAATTATTTTAAGATGTGTTTTCACAGTTTTGGGATCACCATTGGTAATGGGATCAGTAAAATTTTAAATATTGATAAGAATGCATCTTCACAAAAATTATTTTTTTCCCCTTAAAGTGCCACAAAAATATTTGTGAACGGTTGTTGGGTTGGAATTCACAAAGATCCCGAACAATTGATGAATACTCTCAGAAAACTGCGTCGTCAGATGGATATCATTGTGTCAGAGGTAATGTTTATTAAATAGGGACATTAAAGAACGGAATCCCTGATTTCTGTTCCAGGGGCGGGGGTCAGGGAGGCAACTGCCCCTCAGACCGCACTAAATTCAGGGCCGTCCCCCTCCACCCCTCCTTCACCCTCACATTTATTTATTTTATTCTAGGTATCAATGATTCGAGACATTCGAGAGCGAGAAATCAGAATCTATACAGATGCTGGTCGAATTTGCCGGCCGTTGTTAATTGTGGAAAAACAGAAATTGCTGTTAAAGAGGAGACATATTGATCAACTAAAAGAAAGAGAATATAACAATTACAGGTGTGAACTATTTTATTTTAGCTTAACATGCATATCTATATATAACAGAACTTAGATCTATACTTCATTGGAACCTGGCTGACATACTATTTTGTTTAGTTGGCAGGACCTGGTAGCCAGTGGTGTTGTGGAATACATTGATACTTTGGAGGAGGAGACCGTCATGCTTGCGATGACACCTGATGACTTGCAAGAGAAGGGCGTAGCATACTGTTCTACGTACACACACTGTGAAATCCATCCATCCATGATCCTAGGAGTCTGTGCTTCAATTATTCCATTCCCCGATCACAATCAGGTTTGTGTACTTTAGTCTTTCTCTTATAGAAATGGTTTATGTGTCATGAAATTTGTTGTAGTCTTAGCGCACAAACGTGGGTAGGGATCCATCCAAACTTGCACTGACTTCTGGCTATTTATATATTTGTAAGGTATTTTCATAGAGTTGAGGGGAGCACTTTCAGTGGTACTATGAGTGCTAAGTAAACTTTTTTTAAATTTATTTTTTTCATGTAGAGGAGAATTCTGGCATGCAATGTAGTAAAGGAACACTCAAAAGTTAGAGTTGAAATGTTCCTCTAAGCCTTTCTATTGGCTGACAAGTGCTAAATACCTGTTTATAACATTGTAACGTTACTATACACCATTGGGAAGACTTAGTGACATTTGGATATAAACAAAATACTAACATATTCTTGAGAATATTGGTAGGAGCCCTATATGAAAAAGGAACAGTATTATTTTTTTTTATATGAAAGTTTAGTGTTCTCTATCTGAAAGCTATGCAGGTCTAAGCGTAAGCAGGATACAGATTAATGGTATCCACTGAAGTGCGTCAATTATGTATAAGAAGTGTTTTGTGATTTATCTATTGACTATGGTCACAGTGGTTTACTTGCTTAGAGTGGCTAGTATCAAATCTAAATACAAGCTTCACCAAATCGTATAGAAAAAAAAAAAACCATATAAATAATAATTAGAACTTTCCTAGTTATGTCACATTATTTTAAGCATTTCAAAATATACAGAAAAAACAACCCTTTAATTAAAATTACAATTTCTTTTTTGGTAGTCTCCTAGAAACACTTACCAGTCTGCTATGGGGAAGCAGGCTATGGGTGTGTATATCACAAACTTTCATGTTCGGATGGACACTCTGGCACATGTGTTGTATTACCCTCAAAAACCACTGGTCACTACACGATCTATGGAGTACCTGAGATTCAGAGAGCTTCCTGCAGGTAAGCAGTGCATTGTTTCATAACTGAAGAGAATTAAACATGATGTGTAATGTAATGCAGTGGAGTTTTACTATGTATTTTTATTTCTATTTGCCCAGCCTCTTAATTGTTTAAAAGTCTTCAAGAATCATAATCATTAGTCTGCTGTAGTGGTTATGATAGAAACATAGAATGTGACGGCAGATAAGAACCATTCGGCCCATCTAGTCTGCCCAATTTTCTAAATACTTTCATTAGTCCCTAGTCTTATCTTATAGTTAGGATAGCCTTATGCCTATCCCACGCATGCTTAAACTCCTTTACTGTGTTAACCTCTACCACTTCAGCTGGAAGGCTATTCCATGCATCCACTACCCTCTCAGTAAAGTAATACTTCCTGATATTATTTTTAAACCTTTGTCCCTCTAATTTAAGACTATGTCCTCTTGTTGTGGTAGTTTTTCTTCTTTTAAATATAGTCTCCTCCTTTACTGTGTTGATTCCCTTTATATATTTAAATGTTTCTATCATATCCCCCCTGTCTCGTCTTTCCTCCAAGCTATACATGTTAAGATCCTTTAACCTTTCCTGGTAAGTTTTATCCCGCAATCCATGAACCAGTTTAGTAGCCATTCTCTGAACCCTCTCTAAGGTATCAATATCCTTCTGAAGATACGGTCTCCAGTACTGTGTACAATACTCCAAGTGAGGTCTCACCAGTGTTCTGTACAATGGCATGAGCACTTCCCTCTTTCTACTGCTAATACCTCTCCCTATACAACCAAGCATTCTGCTAGCATTTCCTGCTGCTCTATTACATTGTCTGCCTACCTTTAAGTCATCAGAAATAATCACCCCTAAATCCCTTTCCTCATATGTTGAGGTTAGGACTCTATCAAATAATCTGTACTCTGCCCTTGGGTTTTTACGTCCAAGATGCATTATCTTGCACTTATCCACATTAAATGTCAGTTGCCACAATTCTGACCATTTTTCTAGTTTACCTAAATCATTTGCCATTTGGCTTATCCCTCCTGGAACATCAACCCTGTTACATATCTTAGTATCATCAGCAAAAAGACATACCTTACCATCAAGACCTTCTGCAATATCACTAATAAAAATATTAAAGACAATGGGTCCAAGTACAGATCCCTGAGGTACCCCACTGGTGACAAGTCCAAGCTTCGAATATATTCCATTAACTACAACCCTCTGTTGCCTGTCACTCAGCCACTGCCTTACCCATTCAACAATATTTAAATCCAAACTTAAAGATTGCAGTCTTGATGCCAAGAGAATCCTGGCCCCTATCCCTGGTAATCGGACAAACTGATTTTTATAACTATTTCTGCTCCTACCTGGTTGTTGCCAGGTTCCGATGTTGCCGCTCTTGTGATGTATATCTGGCTTCCTGCAATGTGCGTAAGCTGGATGCCAATGCGATTGTCATCATCTGACTGCTCTCAGCCAATGAATGACATTCTGTGTATAGAAACTTGCACAGAATTAACATTTGCCTGCTCGGAACTCTGGTTCCATACTGGCTGATGACACCCCAATGACGCTGCTTGGGATACCATTACACCTTCAGCAGCAAACGGGTTAAACTCTTTTTGTGCAGCTTTTCAAAGCGATACGCTGCTCATGTAGACTTTAGGCACTATGGCCCTAAAGTCATATGACTTGGGAAACCCCTTGTAACTAGGGAATTTAAAAATATTATCCAGCATTCTGATGTTTAGTTAATGCTAAGAAAGGCAATGCTTTTCTTTTCTAACGACTAAGTCCAAACCACACACATCCATGCTGTGGAAATTCAGTTGTATATTCTTCATATTCTCTGTGTTCCTTTTCTTCTGTATACAGAAGCGGGCACTGTTTTGATTTTGGACCGCAACTAAGACAAATGAGCTAAAACTTGCCACCAGGAGTCTCAGCCTATCTTTGCGATCCAAAATTTGATGTGGAAGAAAAGCAGTCAATATAGGGGCCAGATTGTAGGGTGCTGAGTGAGTCCCACGTTTTGTGTAATCATTGAAATATTTGGCAAAAACAGGGTGACTGCATCAACCGGCTTTTGTACCATAACTACCACTGCTCTTTATAGTGCTAGTGATGCAATACTTCTTTATTTCCCCCCCTGCTGTTTTGTTTGCCTTGCCTCTGACTCCTATAAAAGAGCTGTACACTGGCCACATAAATGCATGCTGCAAGCGACAAGGTAGTCATTGCTCTTAATGTTTCCACACTTTATTTTGTGTGAAATTAGTATATCAAGGAAATTAGTGTGGGTGTTTCAAAATAAATATGATATAGAGCAGATCTTTCTTTACTTGAAGTACTGTTTAACCATTTTAAATCATTGTAATAACCTCTGCATTGAGACGAATGCAAGTCAACATATAACTGTGCAATTAATTAAATTGTGTTGAAAATATGCAATGTGCCTCATTGTTTTTGTTCAGGATATAGAAGTGTACATAGATAAAGATGATATTGATGTGTAAATTGTATGCACAAAATAGTCTTGTTAAATCTATTCTTTGTACATGCCCTCTTTTCAGGAATTAACTCAATTGTGGCCATTGCTTCATATACGGGATATAATCAGGAGGATTCTGTTATCATGAACCGCTCTGCTGTGGACAGAGGATTTTTCAGGTTTGTTATAAATACATTAACACCAAAAGTACTTTTAAATAATTTTTTACTACCAAAAGTGTGTAAAAAATAAAGTATTCAGTCTAGGATTTAAAGACTCTTAAAACTTGGATGATGTGTGAATTTTCAAGTCTAAATGGTTGTAAATATGGCATTTGTTATCCTTTGCAAGTACATTACAGTACTGAGAGTTTTCAATAAACTATAGTTATTGGTTTTCTTTGCCATTGTAAACCGACGTCAACGAACCATAGCCTTCTAGGGATTGGATAGTCCTTAAAACGTTTTTGTCACTTTTAATTTAAACGTATGGTGTATGATATATATTTGTTGATGGCAAACTTTAAATTTTCTGGGGGTACTGTTTCTTTTTTTGTTCTTTGCAGACAGTATGGTACAGCAAATCTATTAGCAAAGCATTCTGTTCATACTTTTTTGCAATCATATATAATCTAAACCAACACTTGAGATTTTCACTCAAGACTAGCCATTGTCAAGTGCAAATGTAATCCTGGAGAATAAAAATCACCCCTGGTTAAGTACACCATGAATTCTCCAGGCTTGCAGTGGCGACTAGCATTGAAGGCCTAGATAATAGCATAGTATTTGATATTTTTAAGCCCTGACCCAAAGCATCTAGGAATAAAGTATTTGAAGAATGTTTTGCGTTCTTCCTGTCCTCCTTTTACAGATATTCCAATTCTACTTTTACGATTTCTCTTCCATGCCTCTTTTATTAGTTTATTTTGACTTGGAGTTGGTTTTTAACCGTACAGCCATAAGCTACATTCTGTACACTCCTGACATTCCCTATGTAAAAATATGTGGAAGCTGCTTGTAATAAATTCTACTCTTATTTGTACCTATAGTAACTTTTTAAACAGTCCTGAAAACATCGACCACAGTCTTGGCATTGGGCACATGTACTAATCATTTGTCCTTGATAGATGAAATAAACACAAAACAAAACTAAAATCTTTGTTTGTTTTTTTTTAAACAGATCTGTATTTTACCGTTCGTACAAAGAACAAGAGTCCAAGAAAGGATTTGATCAAGAAGAAGTCTTTGAGAAACCTACCCGTGAAACATGCCAAGGTGAGCAATAAAAATTTGTTTTACATAGTTACATAGCTGAAAAGATACTTCCATCCATCAAGTTCAGCCTTCCTCATATATGTTTTTGCTGTTGATCCAAAGGAAGGGAAAAAAAAAGTTTGAAGTGCTTCCAATTTTGCAACAAACTAGGAACAAATTCCTTCTTGACCCCAAAATATAAGTCGGATATCTCCTTGGATCAAGCATCTATTACCCCACCAATTAGAAATGATATCCCTGTATGTTATGTTTTTGCAAGTATTTATCCAATTGCTGTTTAAACGTCTATATGGACTCTGATAAAACCACTTCTTCAGGCAGAGAATTCAATATCCTTATTGCTCTTACTGTAAAAAAACAAACAAAAAAAAAAACCTTTTCTTTACCTTAGATTAAATCTCCTTTCTTCCAGCCTAAATGTGTGACCTCATTTCTTATGTAAAGCCCTGTTTATGAATAGATTTCCAGATAAAGGTTTATACTGGCCCTGAATATATTTGTATAATGTTACCATATCCCCTCTGAGGTGCTGTTTTTCCATTCCATTCTTTTATCAATTTTGTAACTTGTCTCTGCACTTTTTCTAGTGCCATGATATCATTCTTTAGAGCAGGTGTTTTATTTTGTGTTTTTGTATTTCATTAAATATATATCACAAGAAAGTTATGGTAGAGAAAAATTGTGATTGAAAACTCCCTTCCACCGGACGTCGGTGGATAGTCAGTACAATGTTAAAACAAAGATCTGCATAGACTTGTTTTTCCACAGAAATAACAAATTTGCAGTGATGTTACTACTGCAAAGGATTCTGGGTGGGCATATGCTAATTAGTTCAACAAAGAATCACGTTTCTGCCTCATTATTCAATTTTAAACATTCAAAGCTGTCGTATACAGAAACCACAAACTCCAAGGAGTCCATATTTAAAATCATTTATATGCATATACAATGTACATATGTTTATAATCTAACTGGATAGATTTCTAAAATACTTACACATGTGTTAAATGTTTTTGGTTTGTTTTTGTTTTTTCTCACAGGTATGAGGCATGCTATCTATGATAAGCTGGATGACGACGGTTTGATAGCACCTGGGGTGCGTGTGTCAGGAGATGATGTGATTATTGGGAAGACTGTAACATTGCCTGAAAATGAAGATGAGCTAGATAGTGTTAATCGGCGTTACACCAAAAGAGATTGTAGCACTTTTCTGCGTACCAGTGAAACTGGCATTGTTGATCAAGTCATGGTGACACTTAATCAAGAAGGTTACAAATTTTGCAAGATAAGGGTATGTATGCTTTGAATATTCAGATTTAATTTAGATAATTGGTCATTTTTAGTGGTTTAAAAACGTTTTCTTTTTTTTCTGCCTGCAGTCCTTGGGTATGTTATTTAGACTAGTAAATTGATCATTTGATTTCTGAATAATCAAGACAGATATTTTAAAGGAACACTCCAGATCCCTAAGGCACTTAAGGTAGCTTAAGTGTCGTACAGATTAGGAGCAGGTCCCTTTTTATTTTTTATATAAGATCTGCTTAAGAATTTTTTTTGCATGTTTTATAAATAAATGGCTTAAAGACATAAGACCACAATGTTTAATGAGAAGCATTGGATTGGTCCCGCAGATCCTCATTTTATAGGTAATTAACTTAGTTTTGGGGTGTTCCCTCCCCAAATCTAAATTAAGACTGGAACACTCAAATGTTAGAAATAACTATTTCTAATATTGGACTGTTTCAACTGTTCTCCACAAATATTAGAAAAGCAGTGGTTCCAGTTTAAGGGATTATTTATACTGAAGATAGTGAAGCTCTGCAATGAGATTATTTCACGAAGGGTGATGTTGATATTTGTATTTGGGACTGTATAACTTTTGACACTTATTGGTAACTCAACTGATTTCTGAAAATATAGATATATAGTAATATATGTTTGATAGTTTTGGTTGGTTTGATTGGGGATTTTTGAATTTTTTAGGATTACCTTTTTTGATATAAGCCTAATTTTATTTTTTAGGTGCGCTCCGTGAGGATCCCACAGATAGGAGATAAGTTTGCCAGTCGACATGGACAAAAGGGTACCTGTGGTATTCAGTACAGACAGGAGGTATTTTACATTTATTAATTATGCAACCATATACTGTAAAACACATTTTGCGTAAGTGCCAAGCTCACTAAACAAAAGCATAGGGGAAAACCCTCACTAAATAGTTTTCACACCTTTTGTGGTAGTATTGCTCTAACATGAAGGCCTTTCCTGGTTTAAATTGGAGGAATTTAGACAATTCATTGAGATCCCTTGTTCGTGACTTTCTCAGTGGGATAAAGGTTTTTTTTTTTTTTTGTTTTTTTTAATTGGGAAAGTTTTTTTTGTTTTTATATGTGCTTAGCAGTGAGATTAGCCAGTTCACGATTGTAAGAGACCTCTATTCTTTCTCACCAGATTTACTCCAGAAAATGAATAGTCATGAATGCTGTTAAATGTGTTATGCCCTAATATTGGTATACAAGACATTTCTTTATATACTTGAGTAGAACAGTGTCAGTGAGTGGTTTGATCATGAACATAATATAATTTCCATTCGTTTTTTAACATACAAAATATTTTTAATATTACAGTGAATATTGCCCAGCTCTAATTATTTTAATTTTATTTTTTTTCTGCAATTCATATCCAGTACTAAATTTATTGCAGCCCATCAATCTTCTTCTGCAGCCTCACCATCAGTTTTGTCACTACACAAGTCACTGAAATATTTTGTAGTTTGTCTTACGATCTTTAGCTTGGTTTTTCATTTAGCCAATCACATTTCCCTTCTGCAAGTTTTGTTGGCACCTTTTGTGTATATCAAATATACATCTGTCATGAATTTGATGTTCGTCAAATTCAGCATTAGCTGCGTAGATTTAAGTCTACGCTGTATATGCTTGAGAAGATTTATTTATTAGTATGCTCACAGCATTATTCTTTATTAAAGGGAATAATGTCATCAAATTTTCATTTAAAATAAGGCATAAGATAATTTATTTATATGAAAAGGCTTCCGACAGAGACAGAGCTGCAAAATACATTGACACTTACTGACACTTAGCTGTCATCAAATTTTCATTGCTCATTTTATAAAAGTTTTTTACATTTATTGAAACTAATATGTGATGATTTTTTTTTTTTTAATAACTGTTTTTTGTTGAAGTTTTGACTAAATCTGTCTAAATAGCCATGATTGGTCAGACTCTATCCTTCACTGACTAACTTCTGCTCAACCTAACTTGCCTGCTGCTGTGATTACTCTGTGTGTAGCAAGTTAAGCTGAGTGGAAGTTTCTCAGATAACAGTAGAATCTAAAACCAACATGGCTGCTCAGCCAGATAAAAATAATTTTTTTGCAAAAAATAATCGATATTTATTTTAAAAAAAAAAAGTTTCATTAAATGTAATAAACTTAAAAAAAAAAAAAAAAGTGACGTGAGGACAGTTGTCCTTTAAGTGCCAATTGTGTTCTGCAGCTCTGTACAAGCTGTATGAAGCAGTTTTATGACCGGTTGTATTCTTATGTTCTGAACATTGACCAGTGTTTTGTGTGACTTTGATGAATGTACAGTTCCAGTGTACCAAAAAGTTCAGGTCCGTTACTTTTTATAGTCTTGTTTATATTGTGCATGCAGTCTAAATTCTTTTTCACTGATTGATAGACTTGTAAATCCTCACTACTTGGAACAATTGTGCATTAGATCTAGGAAACTGGGTAGCTGGCCTTTAAGACATAACATTAATTCTCTTTTTTCTAGGACATGCCTTTTACCTGTGAAGGTATAACTCCTGATATTATCATCAATCCTCATGCCATTCCTTCTCGTATGACCATTGGGCATTTAATTGAATGTCTCCAAGGGAAGGTAAGATCATTAAAATGCCTTTTAAAGGAGTGATGCTAAATAAAACTGTCTGGGAAAAAAACATCGATTTTAAAAGAAAACTCAAAGCACCATAACAACTTCAGCTCTTTGGAGTGTTCTAGCTTCCCCCAGTGTAAGTTTGCAAGAATGGTTTGACTTCTTACCTGGGGTAAGTTTATGGTGCCAGGAGTGTTCCTTTAGGACAATTACCAACTAATACAAAGTGATTTGACAAACATTTTTTTTAATTTATTATATGTATATATGTATGTATGTATGTATATATATATGTGTATATATAATGTAAAATACAAAAAAATGTTGAACACCTGTATAGGTTTTTGTTGTCTTACTCTTCAACACTTGCATTAATGAATAAGTCCAGATCTAGACTGACAATATAAATATATAAAACAAACATTTTCACACTGTTCTGGCTGTTGTTTTTTTGGGTAAGGTTTAACCCTTTTATAAAGTAATGTTTATGCCTGAAAAAATATACTCTAAAGGTGCATTTTATTCATTATAAGAATTTTCCTAAGGAGTTTTTTCATTAAACTTGGAATTGAAGTGAATGAGTTCTACGTTTTTGGCTAGAATAACTGACCTGGATAAAAAGTAGGTAGAATTTTTCCTGCTTGGTTAATTTAGTGAAAAATAGGCAATTTTCCTTGTCAGATTTTCACAGTTCATTGTTTTATGAGTAAACATCTGTTATGATAGTCCAAACTAATACGGTCAACAATATAAAATAAAATCAAGATTTGATGCTTTTTTTTTTTTTCCCTCACAGGTTTCGGCAAACAAGGGAGAGATAGGTGATGCAACACCTTTTAATGATGCAGTCAATGTGCAAAAGATTTCTAATCTGTTATCAGATTATGGTTACCATCTTAGAGGAAATGAGGTAATGCACACTGATATGATTTTTAACTTTTTATTTTAAACAGGGGTTTAAATTTAATTAAGTCACAATTATAAAATATTTTTAATTCTTTGTATATTTTTTTATGCACAGAGGCAGAACACATCCAACAAAATATTGACTACTCCCCTTCCTTGTTTACCACCTCTTTCCTGTTTGCTCCCTAATGGAGCAGTGGCTCCCTGTAAAAGTGTCAAGATTTAGTTTTTACACAGAGACAGCTTCCCTGCTAGATGCCAGTGTATCTACCTCCCTCTCGTTGTAGAGAAGTAGGTAAACCAGACAACAGTGGGTTGTTTTGCAACCAGAGTTATTGATCTAGGCCCAGCATGAAATCACATTGCAATCCTCAATCTAGCATTCTATGCTGTCCTACATAAAAAGGACTTTAAAGCCTGGGGGGTCCCCACTGTCTTCTTGGGTCACTTTTAGTGGCCCCAGACTTTTAGAAGAGCTGTTTGTATCTCTGTAAAAAGCGCTTTACATAAGGATTTAAATGCCTATTAAAAGACTGCGGTGTGAGCAGGGTTAACTCCGTGCTCACAGCCTTTATGGATACTTGGTGCTCCTCTGGGTTTGCTAGGGCCCTTTTTAGTAGTAGCCCCTAGACATTTTGATGAGCTGGTTGCAGCGATGGAAACGGCTCTTTATAAAGTCATTTAAATGCCTACAGATAGATTGTGGTTAAATTCCTGCTCACACCAGATGACCCTGAAATCAATGGAATACCAGAAGCTCCTGTAAGTCAACTGGGGCCATTTTTTGTGACCCCGGGCTGATTGATTGAGCTCTGTGCAGCGCTGAAAGTCAGCTACGCACAGAGCCCCTTCATAAAATAGCGGCTGAGCGTGATGGGGAAAAAAATGTGAATTCCGAGGGCATTTGTTAGTTTGTATAAGTGCTATAGTGAATTGTATCCTTTGACATAAAGTGATTTCTTTCTTTTTTTATCCGGTCTGAGCGTGTACAAATTAAAGTTACAAAACGAGCACACTTTGCCCATTGAGCAATATAGATACAAGTGGCAAATCAATAATTTACTGTAAGGTAGAACCATAAATATTCCTGATGGGCCATAGAGAAAAATCGTTATTCAGCGGGCAGTAATGTGTTTTTTTGTTTGGGTTTTTTTGGTTTTTTTTTCCTACATTTACTTCATAATGTTTGTATATTTTGCTATATAAGTTCCTGCACGATATCCACATATGTACGGGAACTTTAAATAAATCCTGTGCGATGTATTTTGTAATTTTTGTTTTGGGATTTATTAACTTCTCTATACATTTTCAAAAGACAAATGGCTGCATAGGTGTATTCATATGTGTATATTAATTTGGGATTTAGTGCTATGGAGTCATTCATATGGTCTTATATTATCATTTAATGCCTGCTTTGTTCCATAAATAATTGTTAGCAGTCCAATCAGGTGGTGGTGTACTTTGTGATTCAGGAATTATAATTGTTTTGTATCTGTATTGTGGGTTCTCTAGGCTAAATTGTCTTCCTACATCCCATGAGTTATAACTGCATGAATACTTTTTTTTTTTTTTTTACTTTTGTAAATTTGCTTTCTGTTCATAATTGACCCCTCTCCGTTGGCTTACAGATGGGTATCTTGAACCCCTTAAGGACACAACTTCTGGAATAAAAGGGAATCATGACGGAATATTCCTGTCATGTGTCCTTAAGGGGTTAAGTTAAATAGTCACTTAATGAGTAGCTCAGGGTCTTGTGAGTTTTGTTTTTTTTAAGGCGTGGAGGGGGAGGATCCTGGGGTAGGGACTACAGTTTGGGTTTTAACCTTTTCAGTGCTATTTGCCTTTGGAAAAGGTAAATGACAAATGCCCATCTTTGATTGTTGCTGTCTGTACGATGGAAAAGTAAATTTACAGTACATGAAAAAATAAAAAATCATTATATTTTGATTTATTTACTTGGTTTTTCAAAAATTTTAGGTTTTGTACAATGGCTTCACAGGACGTAAAATTACATCACAGATTTTCATAGGGCCAACTTACTATCAGCGATTAAAGCACATGGTGGATGATAAAATCCATTCTCGTGCAAGAGGGCCTCTTCAAATTTTGAACAGACAACCAATGGAAGGTAGATCTCGGTGAGTTATTTTTTTATTTGTTGATTTGCTTTTTATCTTTTTTATTCTTTCCAGTAAATAGAACTGGTCTCTTGCATAGTATTACTATTCTGAAATTACTTAATTTGCTTTTTTCTCCTTGTTTAGTGATGGTGGTCTGCGTTTTGGAGAAATGGAACGTGATTGCCAGATAGCTCATGGGGCAGCACAGTTCTTACGAGAGAGGTTATTTGAAGCCTCTGACCCTTATCAAGTACATGTTTGCAATCTCTGTGGACTGATGGCCATAGCCAATACCAGAACTCATACGTATGAATGCAGGGGATGTCGAAATAAAACACAGGTAAACAAAACACACAAAACACAAAGCCTGAAAAAAGTAGCAACAATGTATTACCTAATAGATGTCATTTGTATAAAATTAACAGCCTGATTTAACTATAAGAGTATTTTTCTATAACACAAACCTTGACGGAACAGTCAAATTTTAAAAAAAAATATTTGTGCTTTTAATGTCCCCCCTCCTCCCATTGTGCCATAAGAAATGGGGAATAATAAATAATTTAAACTTGCCTTTATTCCAGCCCCAAGACAATTTCCTCACTGCAGGGCTGATCTTCTAATGAAGGAGCTCTAATGAAACGGAAGTGCTTTAAAGGGACTGGAGTGTCCTTTTAACAAATTACGTACTATAGAACAAAGGGCATGACTAATGCTTCTAATAGAGTTGCATTGGAATTCATTGCAAGTATCAATAAAAAGTGCCACTTTTTTTGATTGACTTGGTTACACCCACACTTTCAAACAGACAACAGGTCCGGTTACTTCCTGGTTTGGTTAGCTCAGTGGCGCTACACTCAAGAAGCAGCAATTGCCCAGATCACCTGCCTTGCAAAGAGTTCTCAATGAGCTTCATTGGGTAGTCTGTGATTAGACAGCCACAAAAGTTGCAGACAAGAGAACTGCAGGTTTTGCAAGCGGTTTTTAGACATACAACCAAAAAAAATAAAATTGTGTTTAAGCAGTATTTAAATAGTTATGACTTTGTCCATTATAATCTGTAATGACATTTGGGGTTGTACTACTGTTGTACACATGAAATTATTTAGGTTTAATAGCAGATTTGCTATTGTCGATTGTCGTGGTACTACTATGCACCTGCATCTTTTCTCCTTTTATTTTTTTTATTACTGTTTTGCATTGCATCCCACTAAATCAGCTTTTAAGTATTCTAATATTGCTCTGTATTCTCAGATCTCGCTGGTGCGAATGCCGTACGCCTGTAAACTCCTTTTCCAAGAATTGATGTCAATGAGCATTGCTCCACGCATGATGTCTTCATAACATTACTTTTTTTTTTTCGTGTTTTTAAATTTGCTTTAATAATTTTTTGATGTCCATGTGTCTTCTGTAGAAAAGTATAAATAAAACATTTTTGCCTACAGTTTCTGCTTTTTCATTTGAAAATTACCGGTATATGCAACTTTCAGATATTAAAAATCATTTTGGATATTTGTGTATTTAGGTTAAGCCCTTCTTGTCTGATGCATAATAAGAGCTACTAAAATTTGAGTTGCACTCAAGTTAATGGCCATTATTGTAGTGCACACAAGCTAACTTCAGAAATCAATATACAATATGTTATTTTTCACAACATAAGATTGCTTATCAGCCCAATAAGTTGGGGCACGTGCAGTTCAACCATCAGAGATGGTTGCATGTTAATGGAACACTACACCCTGAGAAATACAAATGTATTCCTAACGCAAGAATTATATGCCCCTCAAAAGTACTAAAAAAACAAATTTTCTTGCCTTTATTCCCTTAGTGCTCCGGTCTCAACACTGGCCAATCTCCACTGTCTGAAGATGATCAATACTGACGATCTCTCCCAATCCATTGCTTTCAATTGGGAGGCTAGTGTACAAGCGCAGCAATCACTACTCTGTGAATAATATGCATCTAATAATAGAGATGGAAAATTAAATAAAATACTCCCTAGAAGCGTAGGGGGTTCCTAAACTGGTATTTGGAAAGATGGAAATGAAAGTATATACAGCTGAACTATGTGCCTCCAAAACTTGGTAGGACACAAGTATAATCCCCACATCTATATTTGTTTAACGTTTATCCAGTGAACTAAAGCTTTATTAAGTTCAATGAGAGAGAAACAACTGGATACAAATTAAAAGCCTGGAGAACAAGGGTAGTCACTATGTATGTAATTACAAATCACTGTCCATGTCATGTTTTAAAACTGGAAACACAGAAAGTTTCAAAGAAAAATAAAGATCAGATCTCTACCTCAGAGTATGAATCCAATAAATCCGATACAAACTCACAGTTAACTCCCACTACATCCAATGACCAAAACAGGAGCATTCTCAAAAGTTGGCTTTTTAGACAAACCTCAGGTGGAGGAACGTCCTTACCTCAGGCCAATGCCCAGGAAACCACACAACGAAAACTAATGCTACATAAGACTCGCGCTTTACAAAATGAGAAAATAACGAAATATTTTGTCTTTGAACCCATGGATTATTGATTAACACCAGGGCTAGACTAGGAAAAAATTTGTCCCGGGCATTTTTTAATCACAGCAGCCCCCTGCGAAAGGGGTGGGCCAGAGGTTGTGTTTTGTCATCATTAATGATAAGCACACCCCCTCTCAAAGTGATCATGTTGGTTCAATGCACAGAGCCCTGCTAAAGAGCTCTAGCATGAGAAAAAGGCCCTGTATTTGCTTTTAACTGGTGTCTCCATAAGTGAGATGCCAGAGGGCGGAAGGGGGCCTCCTTTGGAAGTTGGAGGGGGGGGCGGAGTCTCCATTAGTCTCTGTTGCTACGTCAGGTATCATGTTTATTAGTCATCCCTATAGACTTCCCATGGTTCCCAGATTCTAGAGAGCCTTCATGGACCCCCGAACTTGTGCAGTCAGTTTCTCCATGAGATTCTCCCCCAGTTTTTGGAGGACAATGTTAATGGGAGGTATGGTGGGTTTGAGCCAGAGCCCGTCTAGCGGCCAATGTAATTTTGTTGAACAGTTGCTGTTCAGCTAGAGTCCAATCATGTGTTGGCTTGGCCAGTAAGAACATCCAGCGGTTCAGGTCGACCCGTTTAGGGAGTATTTGAGTGATTAGTGTCCGTAACTTATTTATGCTAATTGAGCGGCAAAATAATAAAAGTGTAAGTGAGGCAGTCCCAGCCCTTCTCTTGTCTTTGGACTATATAGTATGTTACGAAATACTCTGACGTTTGCCTTGTCAAATAAATCGATCAATGGCTTTCTGGAGAGGGCCCAGATCTTGTCTCAAGATGGGGATAGGTAAGGCTTGAAATAGGAATAAGATTTGAGGGAAGATGGTTTTTATTGAGTGAATTCCTCTGATCCATTTAATAGGCTTATCTGTCCAGGTTTCCATATCGGACATGAGCTTGGTTGTCGTGGGTGTGTAGTTCAGCTGGTGTAATTGGGAAGGGTCAGCTGATACCCATATATTTTATAGAAGTGTGTTAAATGTATATGTGATAGGAGTTCCCAATCGAGTCGTTTTCGCTACCTGAAGGTGTATAGGAAGCGCGCTAGACTTTTACATATTAACTTTGTTTCCGGAGACAGCGTTATATGTTGTGAGGAGGGTGTTCGGGGCCTGCATGGAGGTCATGGAGTCTGTTAAGGTGAGGAGGACATCGGCGGCGTATCCAGAGACTAGAAATTCTTGGTCTCCTACTCGTGCACCGTGTATGAGGCGATGTACGTGTATTGCCTGCAGAAGGGGTTCAAGCGTCAAAACAAAAAGCAATGGAGAGCAGGAACATCCCTGACAGGTGCCGTTTCCCAGAGTAAAGAGTGGGCAGATCCGCCCCCAAGATTTTAACTTGTGCCGTAATGTTGGTATATAGCGCCCATACCATGGTAATAAAAGGTGGGAATCCAAGGTGGTTTAGTAGCTCGAACATGTATGGCTATTTAACCCGGATGGTGTTTTAGAGGATGTCAATTTCCAGATTATGTTTATATTGCGACGGGTGTTCTCGAAGAGCTGCCTGCCGGGTATGAATCCAACTTGGTCTGCATTGATTAAGTGTGTCAAGAGGGGGTTCAGTCGTGGTTAAGATTTTGCTGTCATGGTTGATTAGAGAGATGGGGCGGTATGCCTCAGGTAGTGTTATCTTTTCCTGGTTTAGGGATTAAGACTATATTGGCCAATGTCATGTCTGCGTCTGGTATGCTTCCTGTCATTATATCCTGAAAGAGGGTTTTGAGATGTGGGGTCAGTTCGTCCCTAAACATTTTGTAATATCCCCCTTCGAATCCGTCTGGACCCGGGCTTTGTTGCTTTTTAGTGTTTTGATGGCTTTTGTGTATAGTTTGGGCAGGTTTAGGAGAGTGAGGAACTCTATTACATTTGGGGGGCTGGGTGGTATCTGGAGTGTCGTCTGTGAGGGTGTGGTTGCACAAGTTCTTGGCTGTGTCCTCAAGAAGGAGCTTCCTTATGGAAGAGCGGAGGGTTTGGAGTCGTGTCAGTGTCTGGGGGGTTGGAGTAGTTTTATGTTTTTGTTCAGCTGTACGTAATAGGCTTAGTAGGTTGGTGTGCAACTTTGTTTTTTTCTTTCATTTTTGATGGGTAGCTATGTTAAGTGAACCCCGTTTCACAGCCTTATGAGCAGCCCACACCGTCGCAATGGGGATATCGGGTGTCAGATTTTCTGTAAAATATGTGATCTGTTCCCGATCTACCACCATCGGATCTTTAAATAGTCCTCCAAGTCCAAAATAGTCCTCCTGCTAAGGTGAGTGGCAATATCTGTGTGGTCAGACCAGGCTATTGATCCAATTTCCGTTTTGGTAACTTTAGAAAATCCTGCGTGATTTGTAAGGAAAAGGTCAATGCGTGAGTATGTGTCGTGGGGGGGGGGGGGAGAATAAAAAGTGAAGTCTTTGCAGTCTGGGTGTTGCGCTCTCCAGGCATCTATTAGCCCAGTCTTCCGGATGAAGCGGTTTAAGAGTCTATCTTGGACACCCATGCCATGAGACCGTGAAAGTCCAGGACACGTGATTCTGTCGGCGGCCGGGGATGGGGCAGCATTAAAATCACCCCCGAGGAGAGGGAGTTAATGATGCCTGAGAGACGGTTCAAAAAAAATCGGGTGTAGGGGCGTTGGGTACGTATATGTTGAGAAGGTGTCTAGTTTGTCAATGTAGTCGACCCGTGGATAGTATGTGTCTGAGACTGTGTGGGAGATCTGGATCGGACATCTCCTGTGAATCAGGATAGCCACTCCTTCACGTTTGCGGTCGGTTCTAGTTTCAAGGGCTATGGAATATGTATTATCTCGAATGGAAACCTGGGCAGATTTCGGCAGGTGAGTCTCCTGAATGAACTCTATTAATTTCCTGGAATAGTGTGCGTCTTTTGCGGGGGGCATTTAAGCCTTTCGTGTTAAGAGATTAGACTTTCAGAGCCATGCTGGGGTGGTCCAGGGTGCTATATAGAACCTAACGTGACAAGGAAGGTTACCGCTATGTAAGGCATGTATCAGACTAATTTTTTGCCATCTCCCACCTCTGCACCATATCACATGAAACACAAGTGTAAAGACTGGAATGGGAAAATATAGGCTACGTATAGCTGACAAGAGAGAGTATATATACACAATGATAGGAGAAAGAGAAGTACAGTAAAAGAAGAGCATGAGGAAATTAAGACATTGCACAGTAATTCTGGTCTTCTAAATCGCCAGACCGTGGTGTGTGCAAGATTTCCCAAGGGTGATAGAGGGCCATGGACCGATTTCACTGGGAAGGTCCCCCTGAACCATAAAAAAAAAAAAAATGAGTTTAACTGGAATAGAACATGCAAAATAGAAAACAATACAAATTATAATCTGGTGGTCACAGATGAAGTGATAGATTTAACTCAATGAGGGGAGGGGATCATTGGGCAGGTAGGAAGTATGTTGGTCCTGCTATTGTAGGTATTTCTCAGTGTCCAACAGGTTTAGCTCTCCAGGGGCAGTAGTGTCATGCTTGAACACCATGCCGTAATAGGAGCTTATAAAAACATGGATAAAGAAATGCAAACTATAAACAATGCGTTACTGCAACATTAGAAAAACATACAATTTGTGAGAAGTATATTCTGTCTCCCCATGGAAAGTATGTGTAACGGATATTACGAGTAGCTTGCAGCTCATAAATCTCCTGTGTCGCTTCCCAGGGTGATATTCAGACCGGACTTAGGGTCAGGTCTCGAGCAGGACTTTGATTGTCTGTGGGAGGGTGGTCGAGAGAGCCGGTAATGGGTGGGTGAGGTCTCTCCCAACTCTGATGGGGGGAAAAGAGTCAAGTCCCGTGTCCCTGTTTCATGTCCCATGGTAAAGTAGGTGCCCTTGCTGAGATTTCAAGTCCCAAATACCTGGAGGGCCATAAGGAGTGTAGGA